ATGTATGGATATATGGATGTATGGATATATGGATGTATGGATGTATGGATATAGGGATGGATGGATGTATGTATGGATATATGGATGTATGGATATAGGGAGGTGGGTGGCGCAGTGGTCTGTGCATCCGATCATCAGATCAAGGGGGAGTGCTGGGGAACTCCAGTTCGAAACCCGCTCCTGCCGCCACTGCGTCAGGCCGTTGTGTCCTTGGGCAAGACACTTCACCCGGATTTGCTCCTGTGGGTATTGTCCACAGTACATGTATAATACTAATGTGTACTTGTAAAAGCGCCTCGATGACCATGATATCAAGGGGTGAAACCCGCCGCTGCTGCGTCTGTAAAGCCGGTGTGTCCTTGGGCAAGACACTTCACCTAAACTTGCTCCTGTGGGTATTGTCCACAGTATCTGACCATTGCATGTATGTGTATGTGTAATGTGTGTATATGTAAAGCGCTTTGAGTCATTGAAAAAGCGCTATAATAAATGTAAGGAATTATTATGTATGGATGGATGGATGTATGTATGGATGTAGGGATGTATGGATGTATGGATGGATGGATGGATGGATGGATGGATATAGGGATGGATGGATGGATGGATGTATGTATGGATATATGGATGTATGGATATAGGGATGTATGGATGGATGGATGTATGGATGGATGGATATATGGATGTATGGATATAGGGATGTATGGATGTATGTATGGATGTATGGATGGATGTATGGATGTATGGACGGGGGGAGGGCGTGCAGACCCGGATGGATGGATGGATGGACGGGTGGGTGGATGAATACTTTATTCATCCCAAAGTATGAAATAATGTTGTCACAGCAGCAGTGTTATCATGCTATCAGTTAAACATTTAAAAAAAGATAGAATAAGATACAAATACAATTAAAAGTGACACTAGCAGCAAGTATATACAAATTCACAATAGAAAGGACATATATCACTAGAATATTTAAATAATACACAACATAACGAAAATATAGAATAAATTGAATACTCTAGTCTAAAGTCTACAATATACAATCTCACTAAGCTAGAGAACTATATAGAAATGTACTACAGACACTTATTGGCATAGTATTATATTTTAATTACAACTGTGCAAAGCAGCTGCAGCAGAGACAGGTGCACTCCCAAGTACCTGTAGTCCTTCACCACAACACCATCCTCTCCCAGAATGCACAGGGGCTGTTGAAACATCCTCTTCCTTCTGAAGTCAATGAGCTTTAACAAAAGACAACAAACTAAAGGTATTATTAAGACAACAAAGAGGCATGTACAATACAAACACATGTAAAGTAAACAACGGGACTAAGGGAACATAAACAACCCACAAACCAACCAATATAATTGAAAAATATCAAATATGGACTTCCGGGGACGCCATGTTCTGAGACACATGTCGGGTGTTTCCATGGGAACTGAGTCCCTATATATGGGCCCCATATTGCTTTACTTTTGCTCCAGTAAATACGTTTATTCTGTACTTCAACTTTTACAAGAATGTTTTCAAACACGAGTATCTGTCCTTTACTATGAAGGATGTGTGTATGAAGGATGTGTGAATGAAGGATGTGTGTAGGAAGGATGTGTAGGAAGGATGTGTAGGAAGGATGTGTAGGAAGGATGTGTAGGAAGGATGTGTGTAGGAAGGATGTGTAGGAAGGATGTGTGTAGGAAGGATGTGTAGGAAGGATGTGTGTATGAAGGATGTGTGTAGGAAGGATGTGTAGGAAGGATGTGTGTACCTCTGCCACCTCTGCAGATGTGTAGCTCTGCGGTTAGTGGTTTGGATGGAGGGTTAAAGGCACAGCTCTCTGCCTACAATACAACAGGGGCCGGGCTTTTGGAAGTAAAAACCGTTTGTTCTGGTCGTTTCACTTTGTTTAAGTTTTCTTATATCCATGACATGTCTGTGATGCAAAAATAAAGTGGATTATTTCATTCACACAGTCTTTTTGAGAAGGAAAAAACTCAAAGGGCGCTACAACTCAAGATGGAAATGTATTGAGAGGAGTGGTCGTCTGTTATAAGGTATATAGCAAAGTGAACATATTTTAGACATTACATTGGACATTTTGAATTGTAAAATAAGACATACAGAGAGGTTAATAATCCTTAACCTCTTTGTATGTCTAATACTTTTGTATTGAGAAATATGATTTTATATTGTACTTTTTTATTTTTAAACAGTATTATTTGTATCTTTATGTTTGAAAAATCTCACTGGTCACCGGCTTGAGCTTGAATCTCAGGATCCATGTGTCTGTGATCCTCTCCAGAATGGAAGGAGTCATCACATACAGAGCATCCACTAGTTCCTGAACAGTGTCCTTCACATGCTGATATCCAAGAGAGGGAGTTACACAGTCACAAGATGGAGGAATAGAAAGCAGTATTCAATGTTTACTTCAGATTAGCTCCACGTCAGAAATGAGCATGCTTGATGTCTCTCTCCATAGAGGCTGAATCATCATGTTAATCACATAGCTATCATATGCCTCAAACAGTCCTGATGCTCTTCTAGGTAATCATACATCCTGTCATGTTCACAGCTACAGTTGATACCTTTGTTATCATGTGACTCTCATGTTGGAGGAGGACATTTCACAACACTTTACCATGTTGTGTGAGACTGGCTGTCAAGGAACTTGTTTTAATAAATGTTCAAAAGAAAAACATGAAGTGCTAAATACTAAGCTGTGACCAGCATGTGACAATAAACTGATGGATGTCTCTCTCCCCTGTGTGTGTGCAGGGAAGAGGATGATGAGAATCTTACGCTGCAGCTGGACGAGATGAAGGACAGGATAGCCAGCGACCAGGAGAGAGCCGCCACGCTCAAAAGGAAGGTTCAGCTCCACGACTCGTTAAAGACAGAGGACCACGTAAGGAAGCCCAGTGTACTGTACGTTAGATGCAGCAGAGTAGAACTCTGAAGGATGCACTTTCATTTGATTTAACCTACAATATAAAAAGGAAAACAAAAAAGCAAAAAATCCTCTAAAGTGGTATCCTATCTCACTGTAGCACACATTCCAGCAGGCTCAGGGAGGGACAGCTTCAGCCCACAGGCCATTAGACTGCTACCACTTCATACCATCAATCTGTGTGCATCTGAAATATCGATCTATTATTACAATAAACAGTATTTTTTATTTCACTGTACAGAATGTAATATTACATTCTATCTTGTTTTGTTTTATGTTGCATTGTTCGAGGAGCCTGTGACTTTAAGGTCGCCTATTATTCAAAATCCACTTGTTCATGTCTTTTATACATACACACATGTCCCCTCTGCGTTAAGAGACTCAGAACGTTTCAGGAACAAAGATTCGTCCATCCATATCAAAATGTAAAAATATAAAAAAAGACTTTGCAGAGGGGTGTGGCCTGCAGCATCTCATTCAGATGTTTGATATGTGTTTCTGTCTGTTCCCTACCTACAGGATACGATGTCGGATGCTCTGGGTGTGAAGATAAGTGAAGTGCATCGCTGCTGCGTGGACTCCCGTCTGACCTACCTCAGCACCTTGGAGAAGCTGTCCAGTGTTGAATACCGTATATCTTTACTGTTCCAGTTCTTGGAGAGCATCCCTAAAGGGAGCCTGGAGACACTGAGGCTGATCAAGGACAGCGATAGGAGTAGCAGGTCTGTGTTTATGAGCCTGGAGTTAAAGGTGGATCCCAGTGGTGTTTAGATCAATATATTGTGGATCACAGTATTTATGCTTTGAGGGGTCAGATCATATATTTCACCCAACATGTACATAATCCTTTGTTTCCTTATATATGTATTCACATATGTTATAAATGGAAATGATATTACATTAAACCTTTTCAATTGGTGTGTTTGTATTCACTGCAGTTGATATGATTAGTGTAGTTGCCAGCAATGTGAACCTGGACATTTCTGACATTGTCAGGATCAAAAATAGCAGTTTTAACCAGAAGGTAGCAATATGTGTACTCTCTGTGACAGGCTGGTTATTATCCCTACTGCAGACAATTTATCTTCAAAATATGCAATCTGTCCTATCCAAATGATCCAGAGTCCCCTACATCTTCTAAACCCACCCAAAATGAATCAAATCAGCCCACAGAGAGTACAAAGACCGGCATTTTCTGGTTAAAACTGCCATTTTTTATCCTGAAAATGTCAGAAATGGACTCCTCAATAACCCCCAAAACCACTCAGAAATTGTCCAAATCTGCCCATTTTTAACTAGTGTCTGTACTAAAGTTAGCATCCAGCAGTTTGTATGTGCTGGGGACCCGTACTATACATTTCTAACAGAAAACGTTGTGGTACTCAATAGGGTTCACAATAGGACTCTATGATGTGGCAACTAGACTAATAAAAGAAAGTGCAAATGAGCTTTTTTTAGTGTCATATGTTGCAGGCCAGTCACTAAAGTAAATGGTTTATTAACAGAGAGGTGCGGTTGTGTGATGAGCTCTGTTAGGTTAAACCTTGTTCTCTTGTACTGCATCATGTTCCAGGCTGCGTGAGGTGCAGCTGAAACTGGAGAGGGAGAAGCACTTAGAAATGCTGAAGAAATGCAAGCAAAGATCAATGGATGAGAGCAAGAAAAAAGTGAGTCTTCTCTCCAACAGGAATAATGTATAAACATTATAAAAACATTATACCACACATTTTAATTTAATGCAATTAATCAGGATCATCCTCCACTATATAATAATAATGAGATATATTTCTATAGAACTTTTCATGTGCTTTAAACACAAGGCACACATCACAAGTCAAAGCAGAGAAGAAGAATTTCACATCAGGCCAGACGTTAGAGCCTTTTAGCACATATGCCGCATAGCAACATGATATAATAGTTCAACACTTTAAGGGACACACGAGGTAAAAGGTATATTAATACAAAATAAATCATAATTTAATCAATATGATCCCTCGGTAAAATAAAGGAAGACAAAACAAATAAATACGATAAAATATAAAAACCTATAAAATAAATAAATTAATAAAATAATATAATACATGTATAAGACTTGGCATCAGGTACGATTAGGGAAAAATCAGTTTGAGTACATTACAGCAACAAAAAGTTAATGTACTCTAATGTTAATGTTAATAAAAAATACATTTTGAACCGTTTGAACTTGATCCTTTTTCCTCCAGACTGGAAGAAAGCTCAGGCCTAGGTGCTTCCCTGTTGAGCAGAAGATCACAGTCAGTGAGGAGGACAACATACCTGCCGAGGAAGAACTCCATGCCTTCCTCTTCACCACTGAGGACGACGAGTAGAAAATAAATCAACACATGCCATGAAAAGCCAAACATGTAGAAATATGTGTGTCCAAAAGGAATGGTACTGAAATATTGCCACAAACTACTTTTTTATTTGTACTAAAAAGTGACACAGGGAAGAGGCACCTGCTGCAAGTGTTGTGGTGTAGATCGCCTTGTTGGACAGTCATGTCGTTTATCAAGGTAGGGTCATTTAAAGAAGCAATTACTGCATTCTTAAAAAGCATGGTGATTCCAAAGGTAAACTAAAACCACAAATAGTCCTGTTTGTTACCCTAAACAGTTTGGAGAAACGAAACAGCCTGTAAATAAATGGTGTCTAACACAGGCAAACTCTTCGGGGCTGACCAGGAGTTTAGAACTGTATCATTGACTGAACAAAATAATGTTAAACTATCGTTTTTTTAGAACACTGATGTCTTAACCGAATGTCCGTGGCTCCACATAGCAGCCTACCTATGAGCCATTCTATGTTTTGTGTTTGCATCCTGTAACTTCCAAGTTCCCATAAAGTGCAATGCACAAAGCAGATGTTCTGACCCTCAATTAGACATTAGTAACTGGATTAAACTCAACTTTATATAGAAGAACACATACTTTATTTATCCCACATCTGTTTGTCTTTAAGAGTACAAATAAACACATGGAAACAGGCAGGGCACAGACATTTGGAGGGGCTATTGCTCTAAACTGGAAAAAGGGCCTCCCCCCCCAAAAAAAACATAAGACCTTTTGAAAATTGTAACTTGTTTTTAATGTAAAAGAAACCAAACGATTATTACATCAACTAAATTGAACAGTAATTCACATCTCATAACAAAATAAGCTAAGGCGACTACTTTCATTCGGTGACTTGATTTTAAAAATGAAAACCAGGGAAATTCTTTGTTTTGCGGTCCATATCTCATTAAAATATCTAATGTTAGTAACTATTAAAGACAAAATGGGGACAATTCTGTTCTAATGTAGTTTGACCAGACCATTGTAACTGCTGTGCAGTCCAGACATACTGATACAATAGGGCCTCTAACTTAAATAAACTCACTAATGAATGAAACCAGTTCAATACGCATTATTCTTAATCTTAGCGCAGTAACGGTAAGGTATCTAATTACTTATTTAGTATTCCATTACTTAACTAGAGAATGCAATTCCTGAAGAAATTGCTAGTGGGAATGCTTTATGCTGAAAATCTGACGCTAAACTGCTATGCTGAAATGTAATGTGTGAGAAGAAAGTGAAGAATTTAGATTAAAATGAAATGTGTAAGAAGAGAGTGAAGAATTTAGATTGAAAAGATACATGAACACTGGGGGCTTGCATGTGTGATGAGAGAAGAAAAGAAAGTAAAAAGGCTTGGAAAAGCAGTAGAATATTTGAACTGCAAACTTCTGAACTAACTTGATGGCGAATGATCTGTCGCCATGGCAACGGCATTTGATGACACCCCATAATACGCTTAGATGCGTTGATGGCTGCATTGTTACCAAACCTGTGAAGTTTTGGGGCGTTTGGAGCAGTTTCACTCATTGTGTTGCCATGGCAACGGCATTTGAAGAAATCTCAAAACTGTCCCATAGATGTCTTCACAGCTGGACTGTTAGCACAAATGTGAAGTTTGAGCACTTTTGAAACATTTTCATAGGAGTTATAGCGACATCATGTTTTATGGCGAGGGATCTGTTTCCATGGAAACGGCATATGGTGAGATCTCAGATTTGGCGTAGAGCTGTTGAGGCATGGACCGGTGATATACAAGTGAAGATTGGGGGACGATTGGACCGTGTCCATTGGACTGATAGCGACATCCTGTTTTATGGCGAGGGATGCGTTTCCATGGAAACGGCATATGGTGAGATCTCAGATTTAGCGTAGAGCTGTTGAGGCATAGACCGGTGATATAGAAGTGAAGATTGGGGGACGATTGGACCGTGTCCATTGGACTTACAGCGACATCATGTCTTCTGCTGTACTTTTCAACAAGTCATAAAGTGGTCCAGCAATTCGGGAAAAGTTCTGTATGTATTGTCTGTAGTAGCTTAGCAAGCCCATGATAGCTCGAAGCTCTCCCACATTTTTCGGTCTCTTATCTTTCAATGCTCTCACAGCGATGGTGTCAGCTGGATCGATTTTGCTACCTTCGGCAGAAACAACTCTTCCCAGATATCGAACCTCACGCTTGAAAAGTTCACACTTGCTGGGCTTCAATTTGATTCCATATCTTCTCAACAGCTGTAGCACTTTTCTGACATGGTTCACATGGTCCTCAAACGATTGACTGTACACAAGTGAGTAGTAGTAATGATACCCCTTTCGTCTCATTAGTACGCATGAAAAAGTTGGACAGGTGGACACGCCCCCAATTATGCAAATGAGCTACGTCCCGCCTCCCATTGTTCGAGATCCTTTGATGTGAGGGGGGTACAATTATGTTAATGAGCTAAGTCCCGCCTCCCTTTGTTCGAGATCCTTTGATGTGTGTTATAACAGGTAGGTGTGAAAAGCCCCCTGGGTAGCGCCTTTGTTGTCTAATTCTTTGATGTGTTGATTAAGGTAGTCTCTTTGAAGTTGTGTTGTCTGGCCCCTGTCCCCTCACACCCCTTTGTAGTCTAGTCCTTTGATGTGAGGTGTTATAGCAGGTAGGTGTGATATAAGCCTTTGATGTTAATCTAGGTGTTGATTAAGACAGACTCTTTGAAGTTATGATGTCTGGCCCCTGCCCCTCAGAGCCCTTTGTTGTCTAATCTAATTAGCTTTTGGTGTTTGCCATTTCATGTGAGGTGTTATAACAGGCAGGTGTGATTTTCACACTGGTGTGCTTTAAGCCTTTGATGTTAATCTAGGTGTCTCTTTGAAGTTATGCGTGAGACTGACTACCCGCCCCCTCCCAGCCCAGGCCTCTCCCCCTTTTCTCCACCCCTTCCTTTTGGCTATGACACCAGCAGATAGTGGGGGTGGAATTAGATGAAGATAGAAATATGCTCAAACTAAATCAAAAGACAGTCATTTCCACTTACCAAGTCACCTTTTTAAAAAAGAAAAATGGCAAGAGACGCCTCGAATTGGGGTTTAATCAGCCTGTGACAACTTACCGCCATCCGTCCGGAGCGCCAGTCAAGAAACGAATGCAGCAGCAGTGCGGGGTTCAGACACATACAGCCGAAGATCTGTGCACAAACTTATCTCGTGCCCTCTTTTGGTCATGTACGCGCGTTCATGTGGAGGGGCTCTGTGAGGAAGGGGCAGATTTTCCCCCGGTTGTGTACTTTTCAAATACGTAAAGAGGGAAATAATAAAACATTTAAAAAAAAAACATGATCTTTGTCTTTTTTTATAATTACTTTACACCACTATAAGGAAACCCAATATGAAGCTGTGTGAGGTTGTGTGGGTGTAATATTAGATTTTGTTGTAGGCAACAAAAAAGGATTGACTGCAAAAGACTCTCACTTTTTACAGCCTACCACTCAACATAACAAGTCCCGCCTTCCTCACCAGATCATTTAAAAGTAAGGGGGTAGAAATAGATGAAAAAAAGAAATACGCTCAAACTAAATAACAAGCCAGTCATTTCCACTCGCCAAGTCACCTTTCAAAAAAGAAAAATGGCCAAGAGACGCCTAGATATGGGTTTAATCAGCGAGACGCCTGTGACAACTTACCGCCATCCGTCCGGAGCGCCAATCAAGAAACGAATGCAGTATCTGGGCCGGGTTCAGACGCCTCCAGCCGAAGAACTTCATGAAGAATGGACTCTGAAAAATGGCGATGTTTGGGGTTATGTATTCAACTATATGGCGAATGAACTGCATTTCTACAATCTGAAGAATGGAGAAACGTATGGACCCCGTAGGGTTAAACTGACCTCAACAGATTGGGCTGTGTTAACTCTGGTGTCTTCCAGAGATCTCCACGCAACCACTGTATCGGAAGAAGTAGTGCATCAAGAAACCATAGTGGAACCAAAGGTGTACAAGATATTTGCAAATAAAAGCAAAGAAACGCAGACAGCATGCGAGATCAAAGAAGAGTTTTCACCGCTACCCCTCAAGGTGGAGGAAGAAGAAGGAGATATTTCCCCGCCGCCAGAAGTGAGAAGAGTCCTGACAAGCACCGTCTGGGAAACTAAAAGCGGACCATCGGGGCGATGGTATTACCGCGCAAGCCGTATGGTGACGCTGGGGAAGGACCCCTCTGATGATTTTGTTTTGGAGTATTTCAACTCTACATGCGGGGTTTTTCAGACATCCTTGCGGGTGCCTCTGACTGCTTGGCTGAAAATGATTGATGGAAAAGCTACAAAGCTTAAAGAACTTTTTAAACAGAGTCAGACATCGATCGACATTATACTGGTGAAAAAGACTCTCACTTTTGCAGAGGACTCCGCCTCCCAATCAACATAACAAGTCACACCCTCCTCACCAGATCATTTAAAACTAAGGACCCCCTCAAAGAAAAGCATTGTGTTTTCTACCTATGTAAAAAGAGCGTCGGGTTGTCTTACGAAAATGTGTTATCTCTGTATCAAGATGATGTGTTTAAAAATGAATTTTGTGAAAAATACCAACTGTGTGAGAGACGTCATAAAGACACTCATTTTAACCACAGTGTTTGTTCTCTACAAATGTTTTAAGATTGTTACAAAATGTAAAAAATAAAAATAAAAGGTCTGGAGACAAAATTAATTCAGGTGACTGTCTTTATTAGGAAAACAAAAATATAATACAAATGGTTTAGGGGGTAAAAATGTAACCATCTTGGACTTAATAGTCTAACAAAATACTTTATCTGAATACATTTTTTCTTTTTCTTTGTTATTTCAGTGGAACAATCCAGTTTTTGTTAACATCAATGCTTTTTTCTCTTTTCTTGTGTTACTAAGATACTTTTAGACACACTTTGGCGTATGCAACACTTGTTCAGTTAAACAAGGTTTTTTCTTTTCTGATAACCTTACATATTTTAGTTATTTTCTGCTACCAAGATACTTTAAGATACACCTTGATGTACGCAACACTTAACAAAAGGGTATAATATGAAGTACTTGGTAAGGAATGGGTTTTTCTTTAAGAGGTGCAAAACTTTAGAACAGGGTAAAATATTCATTCATTTGTAATGAATTGAGTTTTCTTTCTTTTGATTTTCAACATACTATTTGTACACAATGACTTTTTCCATATTTCTGACAAACTATACTTTTTTGACTTTTTCCGTAAAATCTTGACAAACTATTGCTTATTCTTAAATGTTGACCTATTGCTGCTTGGTTGGAGATGATAGATGAAAAAGCTACAACGCTTAAAGAACTTTTTTTTTTAAAACTCTCAATTCTATAAATGACTCCCCCCATTCAACGCAATAAGCCCTACCCTCCACTCAGCAAATCATCTAAAACGAAGGACCCCACTAAGACGACCGTTGTAAACTAGCCATGGAGCTGAGAAAAACCAAGACTCCCCCCGCGAGTTGCAGCCAGAAACAGACTCCTGGACTACCATCATCACCACCATTTTGGACACCCGAATCTTCTAATACTACTGCTGCTGATTTTGCTCCTTGGGCCAAAACGTCTCTGTTTATGGACACAGTGAAATCGGTGTTGGTGTTGGTTGATATTGTGGAGAGGGTGATACATCG